ATAACCTTAAATGACTGCAGCTATAAAATCCATTTAATCACAACAGCGTAGACCTTCACTAACCTTGCCACAATGGCTGCATGTTTGCAGAGCATGACAGGGGATCCTGAAGCTCTGCAGACTTGCTCAGTGTGATAAGGCCAAAGATGATAAATGATGAGACTGCATTACTGCAGGCTACAATGCCTTGCTGTGTTGAACAAAAATGTGCAGTACAGGACAATAGTGTGATATATTATGCCATTAGCCTCCCAACAGAGCTGTACTTTACCATGCAGAGCCGAGGTGTTTTAGGCAGGACCCGGTGACTGTAATATAATATAGCAGTTTAGAGTCCCCCTGGCAGTCTTTGCCCCTTGTGGCCTCTGAAGAGCAACGTTCCCCTCTCATACTTCAGTTGAAAGGGCACCTAGAGAACGCAGTATGTTGTGTAATAGTAATCCCATGATCTATTTACCATTGGTTTCATAAATCATCCCAACAGCTGCCTCCACAGCCTAAGCATACTCTTGCTCTATGTCTGCCCCTCCTTACCCCCTCCTTGTAAGCCACTCCACTTCACCATCGACTCCCTCTGTCTCTCTACAATAGAGCTAAATGCTGCGTGTGCATACTGATTTGGACTCAAGAGTCTGGACAAAAAATTATGCCAGGTTTTGGATTTTTTTGGCAGAGTGAGAAGACAGCTGTGTATATATTAGGGTGAAAAAGCCAAACCGTTTAACTTTTGTCAAGTACAGCAGTGTGTAGACTGACAGAATGCCAACACACACTCACTCACAGCAATTTTGGTGTGAAATCCTGAGGCTTAAATGTACACCACCTCCTTTTTTCTGCATGGGGTCCACACTTGAGCTCAACAATGAGGTCCAGTTACATGGAGACTTAATGTAATGGTGGTTTAGGAAAGATGCTGCAGTGCTACTTTTTAGTGACACCACCCATTGGACATAAACCGAGTCTCAGACGACAGAATAGGACCACAGTTAAGGGCAGTTAATCTACTTCCTCTGTCTAGTTCTGTCGTGGTTTAATTTCTTCATCCCTACATCTTTAACTGTTACAACAAAATGCCTAATTTATAGTTTTTGAAGGTCATAGATAGCCTCTATTATAGATGCCTCAGGCCAATACTCCAATACTCAGGCCAATACTGTTGAATTAGCATTCCCGTGGTAAAGGAAGGGATGTGTTAGTGTGCATGCGAGTCTCCCAAAATCACAAATGGCTCTCCTAACCAAAACCGTGAAATATTACGGCCATATTCATCACCAGGTACACCGAGAGAAGAAGAAAAGACTGCGTGACATAAACAAACAACAAATAGCGTGTGCGTTCCATTTTCACTCTACAACGAGAAGTTCATGGGGCTTCCCCGAACCTGTGTCGAGAGCTGGAGTTAAATAAAATCTCAGATTTGCCTAATAGTTTGTTTGGGTCCCTCACTTCCGTTTCGCTTCTCATGCACTGATTCGCTAAGCTGAACAGCCAATCAGAGTGATTTCTTTGACCGACGGCCTTTGGCCGACAGCGTCCCGATTCAACATGTCTAATCGGCGGGAGAAGGTGTCGGCACGGTCGAAAAGACACAACGGTGCAGTACACACCAATCTGAGTAGGGCGACACGACGCTCATTGACGGGCCGACATCTATCCACGCCGAAAATCGGCTTGGTGTGTAAGGACCTTTACAGCAACAGCCTGGAAGATTCACAGCAGGATAGAAGAGGAAGATGCATAAACAGGAAGACTTAAAAATCATGAAGATACTTTTTTAAACCTGCATAACTGATTTTGTTTGCATACTCATGGCAGTGATGTGACGATGACATATTTTCCCTCCGCAATGACGGAGCAGCATTTGCATTCATGTGGAGATGTGGATTAAATATTCTCTCTCTTTTAGATCTGTAACACCAGAGGGAAATATCTGACTTTTAAACTGCCCTTTGTTCCACTGTGTTTACCAGCCACCAACTAACAGGGCCTGCTGTTTGGTGAGTAAGTAATGTACAGTGTTTTTGTTGTTGTTTTTTCCCTGAAGGCAGCTGCCTGTAGCGGCCAAAAACTAGACGTGAGAGATGTGAAAGTGAACCAAAACAGTAATGTTGGGGATGGCGGATAAAATTCTCTGCAGTCACTACAAGATTTTCTTTCATATTTTCATTCAATACAGTACACTGTTGTTATTATATAAAATAAAGCCGATACAAAGTGCCACTAAGTCACTGAAGCAGTATTAGCATGGAAGTCGAGATACAGAAGCAGCTGTTGTAAGACTGTGCTTCCACTGTAATGTAACAAATTAAAACAATAATTGCTAATGACTCTTATAATACCATTTTCTCTCATGTAATTGTAACACACACATCCCTTAGGCAACATGAGCATACAAACAATTTAATTTCCCCTGGAAACAGATGCAGATTGAACCATCTCTGGCTCTGTGGTGATACTGTCAGCAGCAGACAGATAATAGGGCCACACTCACAGTCTCCTCCGAATGTGCAATCATTCTGAATTACGCACAAAAGGAAGGACATAAACAGGAACTTTCCAGGGAAATGGATCCAAATATAGCTCCCATTTCCAGTAAGGAAATACTTACAAAAACAGCATGTGCAGCACCTTATAGACACACTTAAAGAGCTGTGCACAGAAGGGCTTATTCAGATAATCCCAGTGTATCCTTTAAACCAGCCGTGTTGTAGTTTAGGAGGGGCTACAACCAACCATTTATTTTATTCAGCAGATTTACCGTCAAGGAAATAAACAGTTGTGTATATTTTGTATGCCATCTTTAAAATGATCTATCAAGCAAAAACGCCAAATATTCCTTTGGTTATAGTTTACAAAAAGCATTGTTTTGTTGTTTTCCTATACCATTAACAACATCAGCTTTGCCTTTGAGAAACTACTAGGCACTGTTATCTGACATTATATAGACTAAGCAATTAATATATGAATACAAAAATAACCAATTCAAATTAATTGTTGATGAAAATAAACATTAGTTAGAGCCCTCAAAATAATCTGACATGTCGACAAAGGGATTTACTTAACCTAAAACACCAGCTATCACTCAGCTGGATGTAAAACAAGCCACAACATCTCCATTTGTTACTAAAACCACAGACCCCGGATCAGTCCTCAGGAGCGAACAGGATGCAGCTGCAACACCTTACTGACCAGACGTGGCTGAACCGCAAGTAAACCCCTGCTACAGTCAGCCACTAATAGCATATATTTACACTGGAAGGCTGTAAATAAGAAATAAGGAATTATACACTTTTAAACATATGCGCCAACCAACAGGGTTACACAAAACACTGAGTATATAGCCTCAATCTGAGGTTATAGTTCAACTGTAAAAGGTAAATTATCACAATTACTCTAAAAGAGCATACAAAATACAAGACAGCTGCACAACAATCAGTGCCTGGGTCAAAGCAATTTGAGTGAGGCAACAGGGACCAGCCCCAGCCAGGGTCCATGCCTGGCTTCAATGGTACCAAGTGATTAACACAGACTGCGCCAGACAGGGATTTTTACAACACTGGAGCACAGCTCTCTCCTGACAGCCAACACTCTCACTGGTAGAGCAGATCTAGAGGGAAAGGATCAATCTTAGGAGGGAACTCAATACATGATTGAGGCAAGAAAAGAGTCTAGGAGAAAGAGTAGAAGAAGGGGGAGGCAAGGTGAGGTGATAACAATGTGAGTAACACATTTATCTTCACGCATAAAAAAAGTAGACAAGAGCAAGAGTGCTCGTCTCTCATTAATCTAACAGATGAGGGGGAAATGCAGGCCCATTAATCACTCCTGCTGGCTAGTAAACAAAAGGCCACTCCGCTCCAGATTTTTCCTTGACAGTTCATAGCACAGGTTTTCAGGGAAAATATATAGGAAATCTGTACAGAATCCGCATGTATAAAAAAAGCAAGTATATGTGCATAAAGTATAAATATGTACATCTAAATTGGTGTCTTGAGTGAATTTCAGTTCATAATTACTTGAGCCTGATTTGCACTGGGCAAAATACGACATGCAGCCTCCAACCTCCAAGGAACAAATGTGATATATGAACTGAAATGCTAATTCAAAACAGCAGATGCACACCATTTGCGCGTCCATATTCAGAAACAGTCACTTTTACTTCTACTATAGCTGATAATGGATCGGCAAGCATTGCATGATGAAAAGAGCCATTAGGCCAACATTCAGTTACTTTGGGGCGATTTGCATAAATGTATCAAATAAAAGCTGCAGTCAAGCAGTTTAGAGACAAGGAAAAGGTTAGATGTTAGAGCTGAACATACAGCTGCAGGAAACTCTCTATTACAGGAGGCAACAGTTACATTAAATTGTAAAGCATTTCCTGGAGTTCAGAGCGAGGTTAGGACAACAGGACACATTGAGGATGTCTGGAAGGCAATGTAATTGAACAGGAGAACAGAACAGAGACAGGGTGGTGTGGAAGGAAGATGGAGTCTGTCGATGATACAGTCACATAATACTCACACCACAGAGGGCACTTGTGTTAGACTCAAATCCTTGCCAGACCATCTGTGCTGGGGTACATGATGCTATTACCAAGTGTCGACCTTGACTATCCATGCAAAAGCTCCCTTTACACTGTTCTGATCCACTTGGGGGGTGAACTGAAGATATGCTGGCATAGGTAGACACATTATCTCCAGGGGTGGTAAAGAGGCACTACAGGGTATTAACTGTTAGCTCCTTAAAATGCAGGGAAAGGTTTGTGAGCTGATGGGGGAATACATGCAGCCTTAAGTCTCATTGTTTTAGCCAATTTGTAGCAACTGCTGCAGACGTTTGAGTTGTATTATCCTTGATAGGAATTCAAAAAAGAAAGTTTGCTCTTTTCATACTGTTAGCTAAAATAAAGATAAAAGCAAAACAGCTAAATGTACTGAACTTAGTACATCTCTAATATGCAGGGTAATTTAATGCAATATTTTCACAAGAGCACCTACCTTTGAGCTGGTCAGCCACAACACTGTGTCCTATTCTCTCAATGACTTGTCCATCTTGATGCTGGTAGCGGTCGTCCAGGAAGTTGGCAGTGGCCTCTGATAGGTGGACCTTCCCAGCCACTCCCAACTGCTCCATTAGGTTGGCCAGGTTGACGTCATTTGACCAAACATCAAACTTGAAGCGTTTCATGCCCAGGATACCACAGAGCACAGTACCAGTGTGGACACCCACTCTCATGTTGACCATCTCCCTCTTCTCCTGGCAGAACTGTTCAATAGCCTGAATCATGCCCAGGCCCATCTCTACGCAGCAATAAGCATGGTCTGGTCTGGGTTCAGGACAACCAGCCACGCAGTAGTAACAGTCTCCTAAAGTACTGATTTTTTCACAGCCAGTGAGCTCACAAAGTCGGTCAAAACGTCCAAATAAGTCATTTAGAAGCCCAACAAGGGCATGAGCAGATTTATTGGCCGACATCTTGGTGAAGCCCACAATGTCTGCAAAGAGGATGCTGACAGGCTCCATCCGTTTCATGTTAAAGGGTCTGAATATGATCTGGCCACGAGGGATGGAGGTTTTCTTGCGTTTATTGTTTTTAGGGCTAGAGATGACAGCTGCTGCACCGCTCGTGGAGTATCGTTTAACAGAATTGTCACCTATCTCCTCGTCACCCTGCTTCATGAGTTCATCAGCAACGATTCTGGGCATGACAGAGTGGATCATTCGCTCTTTCAAGGCTTTCTCCACCTCCAGATCTTTGCCATGCATGATAGCTTGTCCCACCTTAAGGAAGGTGCTTCGCGAACGTACCTCGGACATAATGAACAGGTGGATGCCAATGGCGTGGGCACAGAGGTGGAGCAGAGCTTTGGCTGGGCCAAGCCAACATAATGTATCCCAGTCTGACAGAGAGGCTAGGCTCCAGTTATCCCCTGCCTGCGTCAGATGCAACCAGCTCAGACTCTCAAAAAAGAAAGAGTAGAGAAACCCGAGCATGATAGAAGCATAGAGGCGAACATGGAGAACACTGTATAGCAACAGAAGAACCTCAATACAGAGGGAGAAGGTGCCTACAGGAGAAATACAAGGGGACCAGGAGCTACTTCCTAGAGGCTTATCATAGGACAGGTTGTAATCGGGCCCCATGCCACTGAATTCTTCCATATCAAGTGCAGCTGTTGGAGTCTCTGTATCCCTGAAACTTGATGTCTGGATCTGGGGGGCCAGGGTTAGGGTGAAGGTTACAATGATGAGCAGCAGCGAAGCTTGGTTGTAGCAGCGAGAGTAAAGCTTAGTAAAAGTTAAGAGAAAGAGAATGAGGCAGAAGAGGAGGAAAGATGCAGTGGGAATAAGAAAGGCAAGCCTGTCACAGCGGGAAGGGTTTGCAGCAAAATACAATCCCCAGAGGAGGGCAGCGACAACCAGGTAAAACAGCACATAGCGGAAGCGCCGCCGGGTCTGAGGGAAACATCGTTCTCTACAGGCTTCTTCCAGGATTGAAGAGTCAAATTTAGGGTCCCAGAAATGACCAGCAGATCGCTCAAAAAGCTGAGGCATCTTTTTCTGTGAGCGAAAGTTCTTAACCACTGTCCTCTTGACTCCAGACTCTCCAGAACTGCAGCTGGATGAAATGCTGTACTTGCAATGCTTGGATCCCCCCATGAAGCCTCCTCCAATTGAACCCAGCGGCCCGCCTCCATGCTTGTGTTTGACACTACTGCCAATCCTAACGGAGACGCCTCCATCTCCACTTGAGTCACAGCTAACTTCTGTGTTGCGAGGCAGCAGTTGTTGATGTTGGGGGGATGCCATGTTGCTTTTTAATCTATCCAAAAATCAGAGACTATTAGACTACTAGAAGGGACACTTATTTCACAGATCGAGTTGATAAAGAAGTAAAGCTTAGTATGCGGCTGCAGTATAACAACTAGGGCAATGATTGTTTCTCAGAGAAAACTACACTCAGTAAGCAGTGTAATGGCTATAGAAACACCAGCAGACCTTCCACAAGTTTTGGCTTGTTCATTATTGCCCCTCATGACGTCAATCCCTGCATTCCTCTAAATTCCCGTGTGTTGGACGCACTTGACTGCACAGTTAACTTGCTGCTTGCTCTGTTATTTTCCAAATTCACTCAGCTGCCACACGTAGTTGCACCTACTGGAACAATATTTTGGAAAACTCGACAATTACAAAATAATCTACGTAAGGGGGAAAAAAGAAACAACCACTTGAAAATGTGCTTAAATAGTTCTTGTGAAATCGTGAGTGTGTGAAATCAAATCCAGTTACATTTTCGAATAGCCTGATGCAATCAATATCCTTTTTTAATTATCAGTGCATCCCATTAAATCCCAGTTCTCCACTCCGTTTTCCGTTCCGCTCAGCTCCACTGAGGATACACACTAATAGGCTACCTCCTGGAATTAACCCCGTTTTGTTAATAGGTCTGTGCAAAACTTCATCCAAAAAAACACCCTCCGCAATGTTTGATTGGACTCTAGATCTGTGATTTGTGGTCTCGATGGAAAAAATAGCTTTTATTTAAAGACGCAGAGAAACTCCAGGTACAGGGCACGTGAGCGCAATAACTGCAATCAGCGTTTTTATTTATACACACTCTCCTTGCTGCAGGGCCTAATAGCTACTATTTCCGCGGACGGAGCCCCGTCCTTTCCTGACTTTCTCCTCGCAAGTCTCCGTCACTGCTGCATCTCCAAAACAAGGGGATCGTGAGCAGAGGACACATTCATGAGACCTGAGGCGCAGACAATCCCGATAAATTGTTTTATTTCAATTGACCTTAGCTGTCAGTAACTCGTGTGTAAAGGGCTTTTCACGAAACAGTTTTGGGTCTGCGTTAGTATGCCTTGGATCCCACAATAAAATCAATGTAGCCAATTCATCGTCACTGTGCGCCCCACGGAATGTCCAGATATTGTGACCATGGAGGTTCCTGAGATCAGCCTTGAGCAGACATGAAGTATCGTCCAGTCTCTCCTTTTTCTCTCAAGTGAACTTTGCCCACCGTTGCTCGATCTCCCTAAAAGGCAGACAACGAAAGCCCGGAGAGAGTGGGGCTAATTACAAGGTACCTCCGCTCCAATGCACCCCCCACACCAGGAGTCCCACAGGTCAGAGCTGAGTGCCGCCTTGATCCAGACACTTTAATTGAATTGCAAGGGATACACAAGAGAATGTCTTCATACCTCCGACGAATTCCTCTTAAATTCCAGGAGAAATATGGGCTGAAGGCTCAGGGCTGCTGAGTCAAGCCTGTCCATTCCCAGGCTCGTTAAGTGCAATAATAGATTGTTTTATCCCCGTTATCTGACCATTATCTGTGCGCTGCAGCAGAGTGGTTGCTTTCTATCCAGGCGCGGTGGGCAACGCTGAGACCGCAGCCGCCACCATCTTCTGTGCGCTGACAGCCGTCCAGCAGCGAGTAATGTGTGTGCTTGAGAGTGTGTGACTGTGAATACGTGTGCCAGTGTGTAAAGTACGCCGAAACTAAATAGAGATGACCGCTTTTTTCTTTCAAAATAAAACCGTTTACATTTAATGGCATAAGAAAACGATACATTGATAGGTGGTCTACTACTTTTGTGACATCGACCTGTCACCTGTTTTCACCAATAGAGCAACTCACATGACTTAAAATGTAAATTAGTTGGCATGAAGAACAAGGTAGGCTATTTTTATAATTCTCCTCTCAAATAAAGAATAATTATGTCCATCATGAGAAACAAAAACAAAATTCTACTCGATCAAACACAATTTTTCGGATGATTACACAGTTGAGTGCATTTATTTGTATACAAATGCAACTTCACACTGCTACACAGAAACAGGAGCACCTCTCCAATGTCTCAATGCTCCAGCTATTCCCTTCTTTGGAGGCCAAACTCAATATAAAGCCAGACTTTATAGTGCCAGAATATATTCAAATAGTTGCTTCTATCATGTAGGGCACATGCTTTCAAAGGCTCTAAAATATGAATTTCAACCCAAAAAAGCGATTAAAAACAAAATGAAGGTGCTTTATTTTTGAAAAATGTGTAGCCGTGTTTCCGGTTTGGTAGCTACCGTTGGCTTGACACAGCTTTCTCTTTGGCGAGCACGCGCTTGATAGAAAGAAAAAGACTGAAGTAACGAGCACGTTCTTTAGAGAAGGGTGGGGACGAATGATCGACACGAGCCCTTTTCGGTTCAACGATGAAGCCCGTCCACCTTATTGTCTTCCCCTTCACCCTTTACAATTATAATATACTCTTTTTTAATAGTATATCAATGTAAACATCTGTCCTGGAATGATATCAGAGGAAAATTAAGAGGTGTCATTGGAGTGAAATTGAATAACATTATATTGTATTGAGGCTAGAGGAGAGAAAGTAGCCTACCAAAAAAATACAATGTCAGTAAACTGCTCTAGAGGCTCAAATGTGATGGAGACATTTAATTAAATGGTTGTGATTTTTAAGGGACGGGACAATATAATCACTCAGTGACACAACAGTCCAGTAGCCTACAAAAAATAAATAAATAGCAGCCCTTTAGTCAGCATTTTGGCTTTTATAGGTGAACAGTATTGAGAGGAGAAGGGAAAGTGGACACCTTCCTGCAATCGACCAGCATGTTGGGGAAACATATGTTCCTTATAAAATGAATGAAAACATTTCCTCTGCATTTAAATTACAGTGTCATTTACAATGCTAAATGTTGGGGTCAGCCAGCATTGGAATCAAATTTGTTTGCATTGAACTGGACATTTTCAAAACGCAACATTTACTCTGTCTGCAAGCACAACAGTCTAAAATAGGGATCATTTAAACTGAAAAAACAGTAGTATGTTTGTCTGCCTGTATGAGGTAGAGCATTGCACATGTTTATGCTACATGTTTATTGTGATCTTTGTGTTTGGTGATGCAAACCGTATGTTCTGTGTGTGCCCTAAAATTCATAAATATCCTTTATAATACAAATTATGTAATAAAGGAAGAAAAAAGTATATAAGAATGTGTGGTCATTGTATAAAAAAAAGGGTAATGGGCTTTCGTTTGTGCATAAAAGACTGCTTAGTATTTGAGTATTTCTGGACTTTATTTATACTGAATCTATGGAAAGTAATTTTTGGGGAAGAGTTTAAATAATCTTATAGGTGTGCATGAGGGAGCCTTGGTGCACAACTATCAAAACTACACTTACTCCAAAACATAGTATCCACCCTCCCCACTTACTGTCACGACAAACTGCTGGTGTATTGCAGCTACAGAATAAAAACACATACTAAATATCCTGTTAACAGCATGAACCCTAGGCATAGTTTTGATAAAGACCCATGTGTAAGCCAGAAGGAGAGATACAGAAAAACGAGTTGTTTAAGTCAGTTTCATCACAATAACCACAACATTTCACTTCCTAGTCAATCACAAATCTTTATTCTTGATGACCAAGCTTCCAAAATTGGGCCAAGATTAATGAAGATGTTATTTTACCAAACAAAATAAAAGGTTAATGAATAACTACTTTAATGGGGCACACATTCGTTCCAGATCTTATTCACGATTACATTAGGAAAATTGATGCAGAAATATAGCAAAAGCATTATCACACATGTGATTATCCCAAACTATCACTCTAACACTAAACGACTACCATGAGTAACAATGGTCTGTGTATCTTTTTACACTTTTACACAGCGCTCTCTGGTGGGCATCTTCTGTATCTGCAGTGTAAACATACTAACACATTCAGTGGAGCACACACAATCAAATAAACAAGGGAAACTAAAAAACGTTTGTTGGTTTCTTATCTTTTTCATTATGTTTCAGTGTTTAGTAAGGTAAACAAATGGGGTTAGTGAGGGAGAGGGAACTGGACTAGCTATTGTCCATGAGTTAACATTTCGGAATTCTATGTATTACAATGGGTTGGCCTATTACTCTTTACCTATACTTTGATTATTTGAGAATCGGTTAATTAAGGCAATAGTTTTGACGTTTTAGTAGATTGATACCACGTTTATGTCTGTGTAGCTAGCCAGTTAGCGTAGATTAGCTTAGTCTGGAAAAATATAGCTAGGTTAGGAAAAACAAAGTCCCCCTACCTGTACCTCCAGAACCCCGCAGGCGACATGTATAGTAGCCTAGGCCTATGTTAAATTCAGTTTAGGCAGAGTTCAAATGATGTGCAAAACTATTTCTGGGCTGGCAGCAGTAAGTTCCTTGAGTCTCTGCTATCTGCCTAGCAACCCATTTTCTCGAAGTTACTGCGACTGGCCAAACACTTGTACCCAAAATGTCAAACTATCTTTAGCAGATTTACCATGCCATACTCATGGAAAGTTGTTTGAGGTAGGCTTACATAAGAATTTGCATCTACTACATGCGTCATTGTAAAATATTGTGGATGTAAATGTCAGTAGGCCTACTGTCAGCTTACTTCTTTCGACAGAGGTCAAGGGTCAACTCAGAAGTCCTCAACTTTACCTTTACCTGCAGCCCGGCTTATGCAAGCTAGGAAAACGCATTCTTGTTGTGGTAGTTTATACAAATGTAAAGCAGGGAGTATTCAGTACACCTACATAGAATACTTAAATGCCCATTTGGAGTAATTATACATTCAAACCAATAAATAGCTTTCTATCCTGCAAAATAAATGGTTGAATAAGACAGCTTTAACCAAAACACATCCTCCATCTTTGTTTGTCATGGTCATTCAGCTAGAAGAAGCTGGGAAGCTTATTGTTTAAGGGGAAAGAAAATCATAACACAGTATTGAATTCCTGCCAAAGACTGGCAAATTTATAGACGCATACAGAAAACAGTAAGAACAGTTAAGAAGTGAAGCAAAATTAACATACCCAGCCCGCTCTGAAGAGTCTGACCCTTGAACCCTGAACTCTGCTTCTATCACAGTGCCCATGTCATAAGTTGTCAACAACCAGGACTGATGAGCGTATAAAATGAAAGGAGAAAAAAAAGGCCTTATTTGTTGCATGGCAAGGTTGGTTCAGGTTTCAGTTACACAAGGAAATATTATTTTTAAAACGTTATGCTAGCAGGAATTACATGCATCTGTTAAATAAGATCTAACATGCATTGTTAAAGTTAATCTATGTCAAACGCAAGAGTTGGATGACAAATGCAAAGGCTTATAGCACCCACAAAAAAGACTACTTCAAAATCGGCTTTCAAAGTTTATGGAATTGACTTTCTGCAATGCAGTTCTCAAGATTTTACAACACAAATTTGCAACTTCTGTTTCCACTTTTTCCCATTTTATTCACATACAAGGGAGCTGGTATTTGAATGTTTTCAGTCTCAGGATTATCAAGATTTTACTGAATTTTGCTTTTTCATTTCTGTGCTTCTTTACATAATTAATTCCCCACCCAAAAGAACCCTGTGGTTGTGAGAGAAGAGAAGGGCATATATTTTAACAAAACTCAGTGATTAGTGGCATTTTCTCATGTCTTCAGCATGTGTGTCCTTAAGATGCCTTATCAAACAATGACCCTTCCCTCCCATCTGTCTCATTAATACAGTCCCTAAATGCAACTCCCCATATTATCCTGAGGAAAAAAACAAACACTAATCTCCCTTCTCCTCTGTCTTCTTCATCAATACAGGCATTCTGACAAACGCAAGGGTGGCTCCCACCCGACCCCTTCTCTTCTTACTTCACCCACTGAAGTTATTTGGATTTCCTCAGTTCTTTCGATAACGATTCTTTGGCTTCTCACCACAGCCTGTAGTCTCACAGGAGGTCAGGCCAGGCTGCTTGCCTGAGTTAATGCTGCTCAGAAGGGCGGGCAGCTCATTGGTGATTGCCTTCTCAATCTTATCCAGCAGACAGCCACCCATGTAGGAGCACTGAGCTGTCAGGGGCTTGAAGTTGGTGACAGGATTAACGCCAAAGAAGTCACGGTAAGCATCGCGGTTGGGCAGGTCAAACTTGCTGATGTTGGTCTTGGCTAGGATGGATTTGAAAATGTAAAACTTGTCTGGGTCATCTACGATCTCCTTGAAGACTAGTTCAGGGTCACTGAAGTAGCTCATCTTCTCTTTAAAGGTCTGAACGTAGCGGTCTACCAGCAGGCCGTGAATGCGCACGCGGATGCCGTGCTGGCGGATGAAAGCAACTTTGTTCTCCATGCGGTTTTCAATCACCTGGTTCAGATCTTCCAGGAGGGAGATCTCTTCCCGTTTGAAGAGGTCACGGCTGGTGTCAGGTGCGTAGTCATATGGCCAGAAAGAGCTGACGTAGACGCGGGGGGGTTCGGTCACATTGATGAGCGGAGCTAAGCTCCAAAAGAGAGCACCATAGACTCTCATTAAGTCCTGGGTGGCAAGGTTGTCAGCCTTGTTTAGGATGATGCGGATCTGGGATTCACGACCCTTCAACTGACGGAAGAGCATCTCCAGCTCAAGGCCTACGTCCAACT